GCAAAGATACTGGAACAGAAAATTATTCTTTTTACCGGCCGTACTTTAATTGAAAAGCAACCCCGAGATGATTATTAAGGAGTGAATGTTTCCTTTAAATCATAAACACAATATTGTCATGCTCATAAAGTGCGTTATCACAGTGGGAAAAACATGACAAGAAAGGCATAAAAACCTTAACTCTTCCAACTCTCATTTATAAATCACACAATCCGTTCAGTTTTAAATTTCATGTGGAGAGTGGTCATAAATATTTAAATTATTGTGTAATAACTAATCTCAAACCCGTGGGAGACAGACTGTTGATCAGATTTGCAATTTTATGTGCCCTTTTGATAAGCACTTGATCGCGTGTTTTTTATGTTGTTTGTGGTTGGACAACTCAGTTGTGCATACGATTTTATCTCTGATTTTATCATTTACCATAAAAAGGGTTTAAATTAGGGCATGGAGAGTCAAAGTCACAGCACGTTAGAGATAAATTCACCAACTACCTCTACAGCTGTAATTTGCCTTGTTTAATCTGTACTTGTCAATTGTTTACTGCAGTCTTTAAGGGTTATTGTTAAAATATGCAAAATAAAGATTTTTATTGCATTGCTTAGATGTGTTAAAGGTGACATATCATGAAAATCTGACTTTTCCAGGTTTTAAGTGCTATAATCAGGTCCCCGGTGCATCTACCAACCAAGGAAACGTGAAAAAGATTAACCCAGTAACTTTGTTTTGGTAAGCCTTTTTCTGCAAGCGTCTGAGAAAATGAGCGTGTCTGATTTCGCTCCCTTGGTGACGTGGCAAAGGGATCTCATTATAATATTACCGCCCCTTAATCTGTAAACTTCCACTCAAGGCGCCATAATTTTGAGTGTGTTTGATTAGGGAGACAAACAAAATGTGCAGTGCTGGGGGGCGCCCAGGACCAGGGTTGAGAAACACTGTAATAAATATTTTTTATTTTTAGTATTTAATATTTTTATAAGTATTTTTTTTGAGCTGGAACTTCACAGACACATTCTGGGGACACCAGAGACTTATATTACATATTGTAAAAAGGGGCATAATATGTCTCCTTTAAATTGTGGAGAAGTACAAAAAGCAAAGAGCACAAGTTATTTGGATGCCACTGCCATCTGCTGACAAAACAAACAATGATCATTGCTGCAAAATTTAAACAGTTTACTACCTTGTTTTACATGTACAGAAAGTCACTTATTCATTACAGAATTACAGTCAAATAGACAATTGTTTTAAGTCAACATTAAGTTTGGCACATTTACAACAGCAATCTAATCAAAATATTTCACATTTGTCTTGCAGAATATTTGCTGTATCATGAACACATTTACAGATGTGCAAAACAACAAACAGAGCAACAAGTTATTGTTGTGACAGAAGTCCAAAGTCTATGTTCTCTGAAACTACAATTAAGGCTGCAAGTACAGCTGTGCTTTTTTTTTTTTAATTATTAATAAACATTAGGCAGTCAACGGACTTTGCACCTACAAGTAATAGATTAAGAATGTGTTGAGGTCAGTTTTTCAAGGCTGCAACGAAACACCCTTTGTAATGCAACATGATTTATATATTCATAAAATCATGTATACAGTTATCTACAAATAATAACTCCCTTCTTGTTTTGGTTAAGAGAATATGAATGCAGGATGAATATGGAGGGATAAGTCTTTACTAGTCAGTTAAGGCCCTGGTGGCATTATTAGTGACAGTCGCTGCCAAGTAATGATGATGTATTGATGTCACAGACGGTGATGCTGGCTTCACAGCATGCTCTCTATTAGGGGGATAAGCGTTGGTATATCCAGCCTACCTCAGCTTGATGCTGCATATCCCCCAGCTCAGTCTCTCCCTCTTTTGGCCGCAAAAAGACTATTCGGTCATGTAATCTATTAGTCTGACCCTGCCAGAACTCAATCAGGTGGGGTTTTACAATGTATCCACCCCTGCAGAAAAAATATATATCCATAAAAATAAACGAAACTAAAATATAACTGTCTAAATACAAACACAGGCAGGGATTTAATATTAATAAACAAAGATTACTCACCAGTAATCTGGCAATGGTACATTTGTGTCCTTATACTTTTCCTCAAGCTCTGCATTCTTGTCTCTCAGGTACTTTAAGGGGTACACACAACAATTTATCAATAAAACAGGTCTCCAGGTGCCCCAAACCAGGAAAATAATTAGGACTAATAGTCAAGTCACCTTTATTTATATAGCGCTTTTAACAAAACAGATTGTGTCAAAGCAACTGTACAGCATTAAATAGGAAAATAGTGTGTCGATCAAGTCGACGTTATCGCTGGAAATTAAGTGTCCCCAACTAAGCAAGCCAGAGGCGAATAATAGTGTATAATTATCATTATGAATGTTTAGTTGAATGCTAAAGCAGATGGTGGCTGTGTTAACGGCATATTACTCATATACTATTATAGCTTTTATTAATAATTTGAGTTAGCTTTTATTTTTTATATTTTCAGTTCTTATTTTAATAATAGTTTAATATTTAGTAATTTTGTTATGTGTGAATTTTATTAGTTTTTTTAGGTGTTTTGATTAGTTTTATATATATTTATTTATTTACAGTTAGTAATTTTAGCGTTTAAACTAATTTCAGTTAGTTGCCAAGACAACATAATTTGTTGAATTTAATTTTAATTTAGTTTGTTTTCCATTT